CTTCCCATTTCCCTACCATGGATGCCTTATATCCTGGGCTCTGGGAATCGTGGAAGGAGTAGCTGGTGGTCTCCCAGGCACTGTGAGGGTCTCACCTGTGAAGTGGGGTGACATGGGAGAGGTCATCGTGGTGGGCGAGACTTCGGCTAGAGCTTCCACCTCCTTGAGAGTGTTAGGTGAGAGAATAGAGACTGGCTGGGAGCACCGGACCCTCTGCAGGGAGAGAAGGAAAATGGGAACGCCTTTCCCAAAGGGCAGACTTCTGCTCCAGCTGATTCCTCAGCCCCTTTCCAGCATGTCTCATTTCTCACAGTTCCTGGGCAGGGATAAAGGTACATGGTCCTTGCTGGAACCCTCTGGATGTGAGAAAGGGTCCCTCTCTGGAAGATAAAATTCTGTCTGAACCATATCCCTCCCATCGGTTTTTTTGTGTTTGACTAGGATGAAAGCACTGACCTGTCAGAAGAAAATGGAAGGGCTTGTCTCTTTGCCTCTTCCCTACTTTTCTTGAAGTAACAAGATTGTAATCTAAATGCCCAAAGTGAGACTGTATTCATATATAATTTGGGTAAATGACTGGCAAACAGCAGGGAAAGGGGACCTAAGGATGGTCCTCCTAAGGCCCCTCCTCAACTCCCCAGTGCCACTGCCTCTGTCTTGGCCCTGGAACACCAGATCCAACTTTTGGTCTAGGCCTCACCTTGGCATAATAGACGTGGTTGGAACAACGATACTGAGTAAACTGGCAGAAGGACTCAAACCAGGAGGCATAAGGAAGGTCAGAGCAGACAGCACCTGAGAAAGGGCAGAGTGGAGATGAACACACAAGGAGAGCTGCAAGCAGGGGGATGGACTCCTTGATGCCTGGAGTGGATAACATGCATGGGCTTAGGGTGAGGTGCCTACCATACCCTTCCCAGCCCATGAGCACAGGGCTTTTGCCCTGAGATTTGGGTGAACGCTTTGGGTGCCTCAGTTTCCCCACTGGTCCGGCCCTCACCGTCAGGCACTAAGCCGTGGTTTTCATATTGATCCAGCTGGACGAGTGTGGGGTTCCGGCAGCCGTGGGTTGCACGGAGACGGCAGGTAGTCTCTGCCTTCCAGGTTGGGGTCAGCAATGCGAAGAAGCGTTCATATTCGGTAGGAGAGAGAGGGCTGCCTGGAGTGGTGGCCAAAGTCGAATCCTGGCCTGGGGCAGGTGTGAGAGGCACAAGCAGCACTGCAGAGCGGGCGAACAGACGGATGGATGGACTGAACCCCCAGACCCGCTCTGGGCCCAGGGCAGACCCAGACTAGCACATTAGGAACTTAGGGTCCTGGGCAAGTAGTCCCTGCTGAACAGGGTGAGGGAATTCTGGGGGTAATGGCAAAGGTCTGACCCTAGGGTAGCGATCAGGGAGGATCTCAGAAGGTAGGAAGCCGACCCAAGGCGACTACCAAGAGAAAGCGGTTCAGAAACGGTAAAAGGACTCTGGGGAGGCGGAGGATAGTGCCTGATAGGAAGAGTCTGAGCAGGTGGGAATCTCTCACCCATCAGGAGTGAGAGAAAGAAGCCCGCGGCTAGCTTCCTCATGGCCCTAGAAGTTCCGCCTCGCCTTTCGACGACCAAAGCGGCCTCTAACCGGCCAAGCCAGAGAGCCGTGGGAGCGCGGGGTAGCTGGCTGGGAGCAGGCCAAAGGTGCGGCCAGACGTCACAAACAGCCAGGGCGCCCGCCAGACCCGAGGGGCGGGGCTCGGAAACTGACGCGGGATCTGCAGCCAACAGGAGCCGCCGCGGGGCTCCCCAGGCTCATTGTGGAAACTCAAAATAAGGATGGCAAGACCTACCATTCATTTAGTTTCTACAGTGGAGTAGGCCCTGTGTAGTTCTTTATGTATTTTACCTTATTTGCTACAGTAATCTCATAAGGTGGATTTAGTTAACCCTGGTTTACAGATGAGAAAACCAAGACTTAGGGAAGCAACTCGCCCAACAGGTAATAAGAGCTTGATGTGAGAACAGGCAGAGTTCTGGGGCCGACAGAGGTGGAATGTACAAGACAAAGTTAAGGCTTATCTGACTAGGAACTAGAGAGGACACTTCCATGCATGAAATGGGCCAAAGAGGAAAACCAGCAGGATTCAGAAGAGGGAGGCCCCAGGTGTAGGATGGCTCGGTGGTGGAACGACATGGTTTCCAAAGGGGAGGTGAGGAAGACAACCCATTCAAGTGTGGAAGGAAAAGTTTTGTATCTGTTTCATGTTTAAGATAAGAAATCAAGCTAATATTTAGTATAATAATACACAGATGTAACACAAATACATCATTTATTGGAAATTAAGTGAAAGATGTTTTATCGAAATGTAAAATTTACAAAGTTTTGGTATCCCTGGTCGGAGGCATGTTCTCCAGTCACTTTTGTCTTTCCCAAAGTTGAGAAGTTGTGGGTTCTGGTGCACAGGTACCACTTCTGGTTTCATGTCTTGTTCTTCTGGCATGCCACCCTCCCACCTCTCATCCAATCCAGAGGATGCAAAAAGAATGCTTAGCACATGTACTAAAATAGTGTCTCTACAATAAACACAGCAAGTCAACATGTATAGCTTTTATTTACCTACCCAAATTCCTTTTACATGTGAGTTATCTGCATTCCACCTTGCCCCCTCTCCCATTCACAAGGCCAGGATGAATCCCCTTGGCACAGAGGAAGGGGTGCTCCTTCAACTAGGGCCAAAGCCCAGATGATGTGGGAGAGCCCCCGACATGAAAGAAGCAGGAAGAGAATGGAGAAGCAAGTTTATCACACCTAGCCCCCCACAGGAGGAGGGGGAATGAAGAACCCTCCATACACAGTGGGTAGGGAAATGAAGAATGGAGAAGCAGGTTTATCACACCTAACCCCCATGCTATTGCCCCAGTCTCTAAATACAAAGCAAGGGGAACAAAGATGACCCTCCCTCTGAAATACAGCACCAACCTCAGCATGGAGGCAAAAGGACAGTGGGCAATATCACTTCCCTTTGAAGGGGGAGGGCTGAAGAGCACATACCGTTAAGTGGCCGCAGCACCCCTCCCTACCAGGGTTTGGATGCAGCCTCAGCACCGGGAATGGGGAGAGGGGAGGAGAAGGGATGACAGTACTGTGCCATCCACTTCTCCTTGAACCCCTGACCCCAGCACAGGCATTCCTCTGCCTACTAGCCCAAGTCAAGGGATGAGGAGGAAACTGTGTTGGAATCCAAGGCCCATATCTATTTCTTTTTCCGTTCTTGGGAGCAGCGTGGGCAAAACCTGAAAAGGAACGTGAAAGAGAGGGAGAGAAAGTGAGTGAAAGGGAAAATGCCCTCTAGCACTCAGCTTAGGGACCCTCCAACTCCTGCCACAACTCTCTCACTTACCACTTCCCCCGAGGCTTGGTTGTCAGCCCCACACAGGCAAAGTGGAACCACTCGATGGAACACTGGAAGTGGAAGAAGATGGAAGAAGCAGAAATCAGGGGCCAGGGTGAGGCAGAAGAAGGAAAGGAAGCCCCCCCACAGATTTCTCAGGAATATCCTCTTATTCTATCCCTTTGGTGAGTTCTTGGAAGTCCCAAGGCCAATCAGGTCTGACCACCTTCCTTCCATTATGAAGTCCCACTATTCAAGTGTGTGGTTTTCCCTCCCATACCCACTTCCTTCATTCCCCTCAGAACCCTCCATCCTAAGGCAAAATGGTTCTCACATCAGGGTTATCACAGCCAATCATCTCTCCATATGAGACCTGGTGACAAAGGCAATAGGTGGGTTCATTGGGATCCACAGGCATATCCAACACATCAGAGGGATGGACACTGCCAAAGGTCACTGAGGGCATCCCATACTCAGGACTTCTGCATGCCAAAAGGAAGAGAAAATATCATTTGCAGGAACAGAAGCTACAACCTGAGGCTTTCAGAAGTGGTAGAAGGAGATCCTGGTGGGGCAAATAATTTCTGGCTTCTCCTCTCTATCCAGCAGATACCCAAATGATAAGGAAACGAGTAAGTTATTGGCACAGAAGTCACAGAAGTGGCAAGGGGCAGTGCAAGGTGCAAGTAGGGCGCTGGAAGAGGACAGTATGTCTTTTGGCAAAAGAAAATCTGATATACTCACGTGCGTACAAGTTTTAACTTCTTCTGGGCAGCCTTGGGGGCTTCTTCATCTGAGTTTTTCCCTTTGGAACGAGCACGAGCAGCTTTCTTCTCCTTTTGGGTCCGGCCTTCTAGGAAAGAAGGGGAAAGCCAGAGGCAGGAGACAGAAAGATGGGTTAAGTCCTCTCTCTTTCCCCTCTTTCCAACCTGGTGCTGCCTGTCCCATAGGCTTCTTCTCCCTTTGAATCCTTGCCCCACCTCTCACAGCCCCACCCGCCTCCTCACTCTTTTTGCCTTTGCTAGAAGAGCTGTCATAGTCACTTGACTCAATCTGTTTCTCCTTCAGATCAGCCTCGAAGCGGGCTAGGTCTGTGTCCAGTCGCCGAATGTGTTTGTCCACCTGGGTGGAAAGGAAGGAAAAGGATGAGCTATAACGCTGGTTCCAATAAAAGAAAATAGGTTAAGGCAGGTTCTATGGATCTCCCAGGCCCAAGATAGATCCCAACACAGCTGAAGGAGGGGTCTAAGACCCTGAGGATTAGATGGGAGAAAGGTGGGGAGCCGTGAACAGGGCCATACCATCTCATAGGTCTGCATGGCAAGCTGCACCTTGTCGTCACCAAATTCCTTGCATTTGCCATAGGCTTCCTGGATCTGTTTGAGAAGGGCCAATTTTTCCTCGGAGCTCAGGCTGCGGGCGCTACTCATATACTCAGTGGCCAACTTGTCAATTTCAGCCTTTAGGTCTACAACAGAGACAGAGGCCTGGTCATAATGGCCCCTGAGTGGCTAGGTGAAACACACTTCTTCCTCTTGTTCCTTGGAACTTTTCCATTGATCATGATAACCTTCCAAATAAAATGTATTGAATGTTCACTGGAACTGTGCCATACTCAAGTAATACAACATATTGACAATATTTGTTTTAAAGGTGCCTTCAAGGTGTTGGAAACACTATCATAGTTGGAACTTAAATTACTGAAATAAACAACGAGGGATCCTTTGCACACCACATTAATGTGAAATATATATTTCTTGATGTCCGAAGATGCTTTTTTGCAGGGCTTGCTGCTTCTTGATCCATGAATTTTGTCTCAAAACATCCCACAGCATTTGTGATTGCTGAAAACCAGGCTGGGTCCCCTGCTGCTGCTGGCTTCCAGGTGTGTACATCTATTTCATACAATTTTAAATTAGGGCTTACTTCATCCATGTAATAGTTCTTCTGCTTATCTTACTGCCCACTCTATTTTGCTCATCATTTGCAACTGGCTTATTATTTTCCATCACTTTTTTTCTGTCTGTTCATCTTAGATATTGCTCCAAACATTTTAATAATGGAAGATTCATGATGTCCCTGGACACTGAGACTATAGATGTCCACTGCTTAATATTTGGTGGGGCTCATAACAAATGTCAACAAAAAGAGACAAAAGTGACTATAACATGATGTAGCAACAGAAAACTGGGGGATATGCAAACACGTTATGTTTATGCTCCACTTCAGTCCACATCTGTCCTTGGAAGAAAATGAAAAAGCATGGAGTTCCATAATCTCCCACTGGCCTTTCTGTGTATGAATTCAATAGTTAGGACTACATAACAAATAGAGCAAGTTGGTTCTTACTATTTGGTGGGCAGTTTTCAGGGAGTCATGCTCCAGATTTTAGATGATGTTCATCTTTTCATGAGTAAACTTACCCAGACTAACTTAAGACACAGCTTCATGCATCCCAACACCAGCCTGTTACATCCTTGACCATGACTACACTGGATGGAAGGTAAGACCTACATTTCCTTCAGTAGGTGTAGGGATAGCTCCAACAAGCATCTTTGATCCTGAAGAGACCAACCTGACCATGGTAATACAGCCTCTCTCAGGCTCCAAATGAATGCCCTAATGCAGCCAGTCTGTTCATTCATTGTTCAAGGCTGAAGATGGTACCAAATGTTTCTGTAAGCTTGAAGAATACAGTGCAGAGATCCTGATGTTAATTGCTGCTTTTCTTTCTTTTTCTTTTTAAGAACTTATATAGCAAAGCTCCCATCTATCAACATAAGTTGCAATCTAAAGCCACACTGTGAATTTTGTGGTATTAACATTAGCAGGGTAATGAAGTAGAAACATTCTAGTCATCCTATAAATATATCAATCATGGACAGCAGAAATGACTCAGAGTAGATCTTGGTTTCTTCAATTCTTCTTGAGGAAGGTATAAAGAACACAGCATCTTTGAATTCTTGAGGCATTGCTTCAATACTCCATTTGTTTTGCAAAAGTTAATATAGAAAGAGGGTCATTATTCTCTTTTAAGAATTGCAAGAGAGGTCTGGGCATGGTGGCTTACACCTGTAATCCTAGCACTCTGGGAAGCCAAGGCGGATGGATTGCTTGAGCTCAGGAGTTCGAGACCAGCCTCAGTTCTCCAGAGCACACCAGATGATATGGTAACACCATGTCGAAAAATAATTATACAAACTCATTACACACAAGAACTCCTTACTCTGTACATACCCTCCGTTCTTTGGTCTAAGTCTCTC